CGTGGTGCACCCTGGGCAACGTATACTCATACGGCAAACATGTCTATAAACCGACAGCTGACTTCCGTCTTCAAACTACCTTGACCCCACTGTATGTCATTCGACTACTTCACGGCACTCACCTCACCTTTTTTCTACCTTTGTGTCTGTCTCTTTTACATCTTTGAAACACTCTTCTGTTCCCCCTCTCCCTATCGACTTTTGTCGCTTTGATGTTCCTTCCCCTCTGTGAAGCCTGAAGTCAACTAAAGGGCTAATGATAACTATCATAAACCTTCCATTTGATATAAATAAATAATCAATTAACTAACTACTGATAGCTAAGGTTAAATTGAAGAAAATATTTGCAAACCAAAATAATCTAATTCTTATGCAAGAATATTGGGAAATAGTGCTTGTAACTTGCCCTTTCCAATGGATCGACTAAATATGATATCGTCTGAGTTAATAGAGTTATTCATTATGAAAGAATTAGGAACCTCGCCTTGAACAAGCCAATCACTTGTCAGCTTAGAATATAAAACCTGTGTTATGATAGATGGCATTTTCATTATCGGCCACAGAGTATTATTGCATCTTTATTACAATGGAATATTTAGTCATTTTGGCGAAAGCATTTTGCAGCACAGGTATAATTAGTCCAGTTCAGATTTACCGCCTAGAAATTTGCGATAAACTTCAATATCAAAACAATGGAATTCGTAACGTTATCAGGATTCATCAAAAGAATCCCATGAGTTCTAAAATATTCCTGAAGGTCTGATTCACCAACCTTTTTACTTCTACTGATTTATAAAATGTACAATCAGTAAAACAATACTGCAACCGATATTTGCAGGTCTAATATATCTTAATAAACACATTGCAAACCCGTTTAAACTCGATTAAGTTACTATGAAATGTGGGTGTGTGTGATAGACTTACCTCCACGTGGTGCACCCTGGGCAACGTATACTCATACGGCAAAAAAATCTATTAACCGGCAGTTGACTTTTGACTTCAAACCGCCACGATCCCACTGTATGTCATTTTCGACTACTCCTACAGTACTCACCTCACCTCTTTCCACCTTCATCTTTGAAACACTCTTCTGTTCCCTCCCCCCCTCTCGACTTTCTTTCACGTTGATGTTCCTTCCCCTCTGTGGAGCCCGAAGTCAACTAAAGGGCTAATGATAACTATCATAAGCCTGCCATTTGAAATAATAATAATAATAATGTAACTATGAAATGCTAAATCATCTGATAATCGATTTGAATTCAATAAGCTGGTTCATTTCACGCAACTCAGGTGTAGTTGGGAACGAACTGCATAATGGAGAATAAACCGCCACGACTCGGACCAAACAGACGAGGCCACTTCATTTAAACTACTATTCCCTATAACCCAATCAACAATTGACTAATCAAGAACCTCCAAGTTCAAGAGACAACCGTTTATTCGGGTTATCTTGATATATACTGAAAACATAATAGCTAACAAGAAATGCTTATCGAAAAAAACAGGTAAAATGAGAATGAACAAAACAAAGGAAATAAGCTTCAATTTATCCATTGGATTGAAACCCATCTGATGAAAACCGTCTTAATTGACAAAAGGCGTCACTTTTAGCTTGCCAATAGCACCGTTTCATTTGAAGAATTTCCATTCTCAGAGCGTGTTCAGCTTTCAATTGGCGAATTAACTCATTATGAATAGTTCTTCCCTTTCGAACGTTGTGAAGACGGGTGTCGGAGGATGCATCTTCTTTGAAAGTTTGTCCACTGGGTAATCTATGTGACAAAACATTTTTGTTCGACTTATTTATATTAGTAGAAAATCATTAAAAGAACTTGAAATTACGTATGGGAGATCATCACAATGTCGGATGAGTCATCGTCCGAATCTTCGTCATCGGAGGAGTTATTCGTTGAATGCCTCGTAGCAACGGAAAAATCGGAATGATGTGCCTCAAACTGTGGAATTTGGGTATTATCCGCTGTAAAAGTCTGCTCAAATAATAAAGTTAAAAAGTACATCCAGAGGACAAATATTAATTCAAACCAATTTGACTTACGGGCGCATTTTCGTTGCTAATATTGTCTAAATGATTAGATCGTTGAGTAAACAACTGAGAAGCATCTTCAGTTGAATCCTGCGCCTCAATCTTTAGAACTAGTTGGTCACCCTGGTTGGCGGAGGCTAGAAATCGCGCCACCAACGACGTCATTCCATCTAACTCAAGTTCTTGCTTTTCTTGACCTTCACGAATTTTCTTTCCCGCTTTCGACAAAATTTGTTTCCACTTCCTCTTAATCTGCAAACACAGGGAGAAACGTGCTCAAACTATCCAAATACTCGTAAAAGTAGGAGAAGCTTTATTTACTTGATTAGCAGTCCGTTTATATTCTGTGGGAAATCTTTGCGCCATATTGCGAGCGACATCTTCCCAAGCTTTCTTCAGAATTCTCCCGTTCTTCTGATCTTTTGCAAGGATAATGTGGCGAAGCTTGCCAATCTCTTCTAACATCAATTGTATCTCGAACTCAGAGAAATAGTCAGTTCTCGGACGGGTTAATGGCTCGATTAGCGAATCGAGATCAGCCAAGCTCATATTTGGTATTTGAGGTGCTATCACCTGCCTTTGGGGTAGTGATATTTTCGCCCCGCGCCTTGAAGATGCGATGGAACTACCGGCAACTTCATTATCCTCAGCCTTACTTATCATTCGCACGGCACACAACCTATGGTACAGGGACTATCCTCCTTTACCAAGCATGCGCGAGTAGACGTTTGCAAATATGCTAAGATTAGTAATTGGCCACCAGGCAGCCAATGCCGTGAGCTAACGCAGATTAATCGTCGAATAGGATTGTGCGCAAAGTGCGTGTGTGGGTATGTGTTAACTTGCATTCGTTTCTCTGCCAGTGTCTTGTGCCGGCTTTGATGCGTACATGTGAAAGACATACGATGTAAGCGATGTGAGTGAAGGTGTCTAAGTACGTACTAGCTATTTTCAAGCTAATTAAAGCAATGTTGGGTCTATTCTAATGTAAACAGCATCAAAATTATCGAAGTCAAGTTTATGAGGAAGAATACTATCGCAAATTTGGCCCTTAAGGGCCATATATTTAATATTAATCGGGAACGTTTATCGTCTAACTGGGGCTAATAATAAATTTCATAAGGCCTGCCATTTTAAATAATAATAAACTGCACCGACTAACAAACTATAGTATGAAACTATAAAATCAATCAGAACAAATATTTGTCTCGAAATGTCTCTCCCCCCCTCCCCCCTCCTCCTCCCAATGCCCCGTAAGTGAATAGTGGACTATGAAGGAAATGGTATCTTTTAAACATCAGACTAGGTGCAAGCCTTTGCATGCTACATAGCACAACACAACAACCAGCGCGCAGTTTAAGCGATTTCTTACATTGCGCACACGCCGAGAGACACACGCACTTCTAACGTGCGGCTTCAGTCAACATACTAACTTTCGCATTGTGATTGGTGCACTCTCAACCAACTGGAGAGAGCAAATGGACCACTGCGTGGCATGCACGCTAGCGTATGCCATAAAGCTAAAGGGTCTGCTGGTTTGGTGATAGAAGGATGGATACCGAACAAATGTCAAGTGTCAAGGATAATTGTCAAGGCGCTACTAATTCTTCACCATCCCTTAAACACGATGAATTGTCTAAGGGCATAAGAGGATCTACATTTCATTCTCAAATACCTTTAGTGACGAAAATGAGTTTGGCTCAACTCGACTCGCTGATAGTACCTTTTACCCGACCAAAAATTGATGCTTTTACTGAGGATGAAATAAAATTGATGTTGGAGGAGATTGGCAAACGCCGTCACATTCTTTTAACAAATCCACGAAAGAACAGCAGAGTAATGAAAGCAGCTTGGGAAGAGGTAGCTAGTAGTGTTGCGCTAAGAAGTTCCAGTGATCTCAAAAGAACGCCTAAACAAGTAAGAATCCTCAAGCATTTGTAGAAATTTGCATTTGCTTTATGATGGAGTTCAGTTTCCCTTTCTTTTTCTTCTTCTAGATTAAGAGAAAGTGGCGAGATATTGTTACGAAAACAAAAAAGAAAATCCAGGAAGGACAACTCAAGCAGGAAGTACATTTCAATGAAATAACCGCGATGGTCACGCAGTTTCTAGCCTCAACAAGTCAAGAAATGCGGCAAGATGAAGTAGGAGAAGTGGCAGATTCAGATGAAGAGATTTCTCCCTTTGTAACTACGCAGTCTGAGCATCTCAGCTCCTATTACGACCAGCTTGACAGCGTTAGCGATAATGACACCGGGAATAGGGTTAAAGAGATTAATGATGAGAACTTAATTAAAGCTCAGCCTTTACAAGTTGTCCAGTCTGCACAAGGAAATGAATATTATTCTTCCAACTCCGCAACCCACTTGGTTCATGACAATGGTCATGGTGATGCCACTAATGACTCGTCAGATAGTGATGTCGTAATGATTACTCACACGTGAGTACCTATGGCAATTAGCACTTTAATAATTATATTTCTTCTGATATTTAATCAATAAATTCCTCTTCTTGCAGATCAGGGAACGAGCTCTCTCTCCACATAGACGAGGTAGGTGGGAACCTTGAACACACCATGGAGAGAAGCCAAATGGAGGAGTCTCCAAATAAAACGCTTTTGCAACAATTGAAAGATGAGCATACACTCCGTATGGAGGTACTTGAAATGAAACGTCGTTATTGGCAAATAAAAATTGACGCTCTACTTCAGGAAAGGCAAATTTTAGAAACGGTTAATGGAGTTCATAAGGGCTGGAAATAAAAATCATTCTTATGTTTTACCTGAAAATTTAAATGTTTGTAAATAAAATTTCGAATTGTTCCCTACTTGACATTTACTTGTATTAGGTCTCTATGGCAATTGGTAACCTAATTTATAGGAGCTAGATGGTTTTCTACTCTGATTTTTCCCATTGAGAAAATAAGGCTAATGAGTGGCAACAGGCAAAAGAAATACGAAGAACGGCAGAATTAATATCGCAGACAAGGTTATTTAAACGCCGATTTAATGAGTGAGAATCGTTAATGGATTTTGGGGCTGTCACTTGCCTTTGGACCAAAAGGTAATTTCCCAAAGTAACAAAAATTAGTGCAGAAGGTGATCCCGCAACACGCATTTGTGCTGTTATCAGGTGATTATTTTAAGTTAATATGAATGTAAGGGGAAAGTCTCTTATATTCCTCTACTAACTAATCGTTATGTTTTGATATGCATGAGTAAGCGAGATAATCAACGAACAAAGGGTATCGATGCCATTTATTAGCGTGCATCTAATAGCACAACTAAACCCATACGCATACGGTTTAGAGCATGTTGTGTATGTCTGTTTGGCAAGTGGTGGACAAGTGTGAAGGTCTGAGAAATGACCGTTAATTGACTATGAAAGTTCCAATATACAGGTTGGTTCTTCAGTTTTCTGAGATTCAGTCACCATAGGGTGTTGCATTATGGGCGTTTTCGAATGAGAACCCTACATTCAATTTATTTTTCTCTCACACAACACGCATCACAAAGTATTCATTAATTTTTTCATATCAAATGATAGGCTTTATGAAAACTTGTCTTTTGCCACTCATGAGTTTCGTCTAATTTATGGGTCTGCATTCACAGATAGTATGTACATTGACGTTTGATTAGTGGCAACCTCAGTCACTCAGATCTCAATAGCGACGAGGTTGTGTCTACAAGCTATGCTATTAACATTAGTTCAACTTTTTTTGATTCCTCTGTCATGCTTTTCGGTAATACTATTATCTACGTTATCTCTTTCCTGTAGTAAATTGGCAGGTAAGAGCAGTGAAGAGTAAAGGCAATGAACTTTACCAATTTGTCCAATTACTAGATGCAGTCTGCATTTACATATTGAGGATGACTCATTTTTGTGGTGTCATCATGATTGAGTGACGCCTGGTTGGCAAATTGAGTGGTACTCTGACCAGACCGAATGCACCTGAGTAGGCATTATGGCATTTGGACTTTTTACTCACCTTGGTGTTCTGTATTCTGATTTCCACCTATCAATGTTTCTTATTCTTTAACAAGTCTGCAAAATTTATTTTCACTTTCGATTCTTTACTGGTCATTATCTTATATGAAATGGCAGACGTTTTGATAGTTATCATTGGCCCTTAAGTTGACTTTAGGGTTCACAGATGGGAAGGAAAATCATAGTGAAAAATGCCGAGAGGCGGAGGGGGAACGGAAGAGCGTTTCAAATATGTAAAAGAGACAGACACAAAGGTAGAGAATAGAGTAAGGTGAGGTGAGTGCTATGGAAGTAGTCGAATATGACATAGAGTGGGGTGATGGTAGTTTGAAGTGAGAAGTCAACTGCCAGTTTATAGACTTTTCTCCCGTATGAGTCTAAGTTGCCTAGGTGAACCACGTGGAGGTTAGTCTATCGCACACCCCTTCTTTATTGGTTTGTAGTTCCGCACAATCCTTAGATGACCATGTGACTAAAAAACGCCCTGAATTTACTTGACAAAGTTACTGGAGCAGAAACATCAGTTGTTGTAATGTTCGGAAATATGATGTCATGTCTGTCTGTCTCTTTTACATCTGTAAATCACTCTTCTGTTCCCCTTCCCTCGACTTTTTTTGACTTTGTCTGTTTCTCTCCTCTGTGAAACCCGAAGTCAATTAAAGGACTAACAAGGTCTACCAAAACGCCTGCCATTTGATATGGATAAATTAATAATGCTATGGAAAATGACGTGACGACGAACTATGAGAACTCGCGAGGTGATTTTTATTTAAGAAAAGGTTCAGGAAATGATGATGATGATGTCGATGATGTGAAATCGATGAAATTCTCGCAAAAGAAAGCTGGAAGGTGGAAGGCAACATTCCAGAGTCCCCTACGCACTGCTACCCCTGAACTAAAGCTGGGCCTCACACAAAGGAAAAAAATAGATTTCTTGAATGATGAGAAAATTTATGTTGACTGTTAATGGATTTCTGAAGGCGTCCACATTACTATTTTTTGTCAGAAGACAGTAAATTAAAGAACGTTATATTATTTTCAGTGGTTCTTTTATTTGCTTACACGAGCTGACTATAAATGGTAGTCATCTATTCGCACCTTTTACAAAACTGATTATAATTTGTTTAAAATATTAGAACTTGAGGGAAGTTATTAATGACAATTATGAGTACTTACCAATATTTATGAGCACGTGGAAGGACTGGGGTTATCAATTACCCATTTGGCATGGATGGCGCAATCAAGTGAATGTGGTCTGATTTGCAGTTATTGAGGTATGCATTTTCTCGTCACAGCAGTCTTTTATTTATTTATAATCACATCGGGCACCATTTTAGCCTTGTAGTTCATACACACATTTAATCATTTTGACATTCTCTACTGGTGAAGAGTATTTCGAACATCGGTTTTTTGTCTGAACTAACGGCAGCAACCAACCAATTCCCAATTTTATCATGAACCACGTAGTCCATTTACAAACCCACTTGATATGTGCATTCCTCTTTTCAACTTGCTCATTTCCTTGAGAGATTTCATCAAAATTTAAAGACTGTACATTTCTTATCATGCTGAAATTGTAAACTGCGTATCTCGTGTTAGTTGAGGTGGTTCAGCACTTCGCCATCAGTGACAAAATCCACTGGGATTTGTTAAACAAACTGGCTGAGTATATATTTTGTCGGGTTGTGTGCGATAGACTTACCTCCACATGGTGCGCCCTGGGCAACGTATACTCTACGGCAAAAACGTCTATCACTCGGCATTTTGACTTCTCACTTCAAACTATCATCACTCCACTGTATGTCACATTCGACTACTTCCACAGTACTCACCTCACTTTACTCTATTCTCTACCTTTGTGTCTGTCCCTTTTTCATCTTTGAAACACTTTTCTGTTCGTTCTCCCCTCTCGAATTTTTCCACTCTGATGTTCCTTCCCCTCTGTCAAGCCTGAAGTCAACTAAAGGCTAATGATGACTATCAAAACGCCTGCCATTTGATATAAATAAATATTTTTTGTCGGTGATCGAAAATTTGTCCATTTGATCAGCTAT